ATATCCACATTAAAACTGTTGCATGATATGTCCACGGCCTAGCATTATACTCTTCTGGTACAAGCAGCCACACAAACACACTTGCATTTAGGTCTCTATACAAGTGCAGTAATCTTGAATGTGACATTATACCCCATTTCACCTCACAACTTAATTAGGGAAACCTGCCCATAGGTGTAGAGTGGTGCTTATATCCTGAAGACTTATCCCTAATGTTTACAACAGAACTGTTTCCATGGTAACTCTAATTGCATCCATTTTGATTTATATCCTCAAACCTGTGTGTGTAGTGTAAGAAGGACATGGTCTACTTCTGCTTGAGAGGCCTAAAATTGACATACTCTGTTTACTAACAGTTCAAGACAGGGGGTGTCAGTCTATGTCAACATAGTAATGTAGTGTACCCGCCTGACAGCAACACGATGGAACAACCATTAACTCTGTAAATATAGATGTAACAGGGAAGGGTCCACCCATGACACAGGACTAACAATCATGGCCAGTGAGAGTCATCTGGTCATGTACGGGACTAAGCTTGCCAGACTTAAAAGGCCCACTGTCAAACCCATGGACCAAACAGGGTTTAATGTAGAGCCAGATCATTTTTATTTTTTAATTTTGGGATGCCATAACATTTTCTGGAAATGCACAACAATGCTAATAGGGTTTAGATTTACTTTGTTCACAAGTAGATCTATCACCAGCCGAGTGATTTTGCTGGAGACAAATGGCATCAGGATATTTCCATGATTTTAACAATATTTGATTGATTGGACATTCCTCCATGTCATTACCAAATTTGAAAATAAATCTATTCGACTTTTTTGATTACTGATGATGATCATTCAGTGTCCTAAAAAATAACCGATCTGAAAACCTGACAGTCTGGTAATGAGGAAATAGTGAAGTTGTCATGGCTTTCACATTTTGGATTCATTGCATGGATCTATTAGTATACTGATTTATTCATCCCTTTAAGGAGTCATGAAATGATACCATTATTGTCATAGGTGCTGAACATGCTGAAGTGGATTGAACATGTTTACAGAAAGGGAGGATACATCATTACCATGATTAATCCAGGGAATGAATTTCGTTATCGTGATAACATAAATCCACCCTTCTTCATGTTTGTTGCACACACTTTCATGTCATCACATCTTATTGAGCAATTCATTAGGTTAGGGGGAAAGAAAGCGTTGCAAGGACACTGAAAATATTGATTCTATGATTATCTCCCTGGAGTCTATTTGAGAATGTTATTATTGTCTTAGACCACACACGGTGGTGAGAATCTTAGCAGTGATCTGGAATTGTAGCCTTGCACAGTCAGTCACCAGAAAACATCATTATCTCCAGGCTGAGGCTTGTGTAACTAGGTGTCACTCACAGACAGTAGTGGTTAGAGAGGAAACAGAAAATCAATATATTTGAAACGTATGGAAGGCATGTAGAATCTACAGTAAAGTATACATGGTTAAAGAGTAATGTTGGTTCTTCGAATTAAAATGTTAAGAAGACAGGATTTTTTTAACGTTACATTTACAAGTCAAAAATTTACTTCCCTTACCATAAAGCTACATGGAAATTTGTCATTGATTAAGAATTATATGTCAGCTTGAAAAGCCACACCATTGCCCACCTGAGTTTTATGCTTAAGAAACCCCTGAAAATCACCATAGATACAGCCAATAGTTCACATTGGAGTGAGTGAGTGAGTGAGTGAGTGAGTGAGTGAGTGAGTGAGTATGGTTTTACACCGCTTTTGGCAATATTCCCGCAATATCACGCCGGGGGAACCGGAAATGGGCTTCACACATTGTACACATGTCAGGAATCAAACCTGGGTCTTCGGTGTGATGAGCGAACGCTGTAACCACTAGGCTACACGACCGCCCAGTTCACATTGGAAGTTATGCTGGGACACATTCTTGGTGGTACCAACGGTTCGTTGGCTTTGCATTTTGGTAAATTTTTCCCCTCAAATGTAGGTTTCCAGAGGGTAATTACATGGAAATATAGCTCCCTATAAGAGAAATAACTACATACTTTGTGTTCGGCATGAAAACTGTAATTGGTAGAATTGGTATCGGATGATACATGTTGGCCCTTTTTGGAATTCCCTGGGATTCTTATCTGGGATAACAGAACCAATGTGGTTGACCAGTAGTTCTGCATTTCTCAAGATATGTGTGATTCAGCTGATGTTACTCATCTACACACTCCCTTATAAATAAGGATGCAAACAAGGGAGATGAATTGAGTGCACCATTAACCTCTTGTGGGATATTCATGCTCAGACTTCCAGTGGAACCTGATAGTTTAACACCAAGAAGCTTTTACATGCATTTGTGCAGCCAGTAATGAGAAAGAATTGCAAAGCCCAAGACATGAAGTTGTCCCCAAATGTAGATTTTTATGTTCCAAATCCATTATCACGACCATTAGTGGGCTGCCTAATGGACACCATCTCCTTGTTTCATCATGTCCACGTAGATGCCGACAGCGATAAATCAGAATCAGTATGAGAAGAAGAAAACAGGGCACTGACAGGACGGAGTATCATCATGGCACATTTTTCACACCTTGGATCTCATGCATAGCACTGCTGTTCTTATATTCTGTCCATCTTTCTGTGCAATATTTGAAGGAAAGAGTAATACAGTCTGAGCTGTAGTCTGAAGCCCGGGTCTAGTAATATTTCTTTTGGTCCAGAAAGCATGGTATGCTTTGCTTAGAACCTACACCGAAACGTCTCTCTTAATTGTAATAAAGAAGTTGTACATCCATAAATACTTATCCTTTCTTAGTACTCCAACTTCTAAATGCCTATCAAAGAACTGAAAATAATGTCCAGAGATAAATTTTTAAAGTAGACTCCAAAGTATTTGGCACAGACTGTAGCACATTGCTATTTTCACCACTTGTCTGAAGCCAGAGTCTGGTAAAATTTATTTCGATCTGGAAGGAACAGCTCAGAGATATATCATGAATGTGTATAATAAGACTAAAATCCACTGAAAGTAATGCCAAGATGCAAGGCTATTAGACTCAAAAGCTTTTAGTACAGGCCGGTCTTTTATTTCATGGAGATTCCAGGTCTATCTGTGCTGGAGACCGTATCCCCATTAGTGGGCTCACCTGCTCCCAGGTGTCTGCAGGACCCTGCCGTGATCTTGGAGTGCCATGTATACAGTACACCAGCAGGAGGTTCAGCCAGTGTTTAATTGATCCTCTACTCCCCTGAACAGGTCTTACAACACAACCTTTTACAAGGAAATATATCATCTAGCATTGCCACGTACAGATGTATAAACAGATGCACATTTACCAGACAGCTTGTCAGTTGTGTTGTGTCTGCCTGTAATCATGCTAATCATGCTACTGTCATCCACTACTGCATCTTTGCCATGCCGATTTCATTCTTCTGAGAGCAGTATGCATTATTGACAGCACCACTGGGGTCAGAGATGGTGATGGGGTTGAAAGCAAATATCATTAACAATCTGGTTTAGAAGTGAAGGATTTCATTTCTAGGCTCAGTTTGGTTGTTTAAAGAAAGATTTGAAATTGACAAATCAGTGTGGAGAAGTTGCATGTCTGAAGAAGTTTCTGCGATTGCGTGTTTTAAGATGCCCCCCATTGTTTCTCAGCCATGCAAATACAATGCAAGATAACTGGTTTAATACAAATATTTGAAAGTAATTTACTCTTATATTGACTGCCAAGAATATTATACGGAGGTCAATAATGGTTGGGATTAATACATGTGTAAGAAAAGTCATCACATGTATTTGATGGTCCTGGTACGTCATATTTCCATCATGTCTATTGACAGTTAAGTTTGATTTATTCTGTATGCTTAGTTTGCATGTGCAGTCTCATTACGTTTACTGATTATTTTTCAGTCAGATGTTTTTGTTCTGGTTGTGTGGTATTGATTACTATTATTCCCCTCCCGCAGTAACCGTCAGAATTATGGTAATTCCTTCACTGTGCAGGCTTCATTATCATTTGAAGCAAGATAAGATTTAGTGTTCAGACCAGAATTCTATTTTGTGTGTCATGCAAGCCACAGTTTAGTGAGTTTACCATGTTAAAGCATGGACATGATGGATGGTCATTAGATATTTTTTATCTTTGTTCAAAGGATGAACTACAAATTACTACCTATACAACCCACTCGTTGCCATAATGCTGTGTTTCAAATACATTTGATATAAACAGTGGTTACATCCTGCTAATTAAATGATTACAGAATAGTGATGGTCCCAACCCAATCAAAATTAAGGATTGAACCCCCAATGACAAGAAAAAAACAAAACACCTTCGTGACCAGTTGATGACTAGAACTTCTGTTTTTACGGCATTTTCATGAGATTTTAATCTGAACATTTGACTTATCATGATTAACAGCTAAGCTTACTAGATGAAAATAAGTTTGAATAGACTGTCATTAACATGTTAAACTGTGTTAAAAAAAAAGTTGTATGAAACACGAACTGATACACGGCAGACTTATTTCTGCACAAGTGTCAAACCCTTTCATGGATTTTAGCCTCGAAAAGGTCTTAAATTTGGTGAATTTAAATATGTACAGGGATAATTCTAGGGTGGGGCCTTGTGCTTTTAGCCCCTAAATGTGAAAAAAAGGCCCACATTTTCAAATACAATGGGGCATTTTAACATTGTGCTGTATGGGCATGTTAAGGTGTACCGCTGGAATATATGAATGTTTCACATAAACATGATAAAGGGCCCATGTCAGAAAATTCCTAGAGTGAACCATGTATGTATGAATGTGATAGATCTCAGCAGTCAGATATGGTTATACTTATGAGGCAGATGATGAATTTTACTAATTGAGTGAACTTGACCATGGTTCTAGGCTGTACATAATCATAATTATTACTCTGTTTAGGCAAAGAAGCGTACTATTCCTGGGTTCAGCCAGGTACGAGCTCATCACTGATCATTGTTCCATGTGTGTTGTGTTGCAGTGACGGGCCCACAGGCGTTCTCCAGGAAGCACCCGCTGTCTTGCTGGTTCTCCTGTATGTTGATTTGCTTCGCTGGCAGTTTCATCGCTAACTTGCTGCTTGGAGAACCCTGCCTTACACCATTCAAAGACCACAAGAGTTTGTTAACAGCTTCAGTAGTATGGTAGGTAACACATGGTTTCTTTATTCCTAATTTAGATGTCAAATATCCTACAGGTGTCTTGGGAGACTTGTGCTGGTGGTATTCCTGTTAGCTGTAGGGACAGGAAGAGTTGTCTTAGAATAGTATTGACAGGTGGTATTACTTCATTATGGTGAACCTCCCATGGGGTTTCTGGGTTGGAATAGGTCCCAGCAACTTCTGCTGGCTGTAAGAGGTGATCAAATGGATCGGTTGATCAGGCTTAATGACTTGTTGATTGCGTGTCATCGTACCCTGACTGTGTAGATTGTTGATTGTGTGTCATCGTACCATGACTGTGTGAATTGTTGATTGCATGTCATCGTACCCAGACTGTGTGAATTGTTGATTGCGTGTCATCGTACCCTGACTGTGAATTGTTGATTGCGTGTCATCGTACCCTGACTGTGTGAATTGTTGATTGCGTGTCATCGTACCCTGACTGTGTGAATTGTTGATTGCGTGTCATCGTACCCTGACTGTGTGAATTGTTGATTGCGTGTCATCGTACCCTGACTGTGAATTGTTGATTGCGTGTCATCGTACCTTGACTGTGTGAATTGTTGATTGCATGTCATCGTACCCTGACTGTATGAATTGTTGATTGCATGTCATCGTACCCTGACTGTGTGAATTGTTGATTGCGTGTCATCGTACCCTGACTGTGTGAATTGTCTGGTCCAGACTGTATTATTTACAGGCCACCATCATATGGCTGAAATATTGGTGTGTCTGGCAATAAACAGACAGACAGACAGACGGACAGACAGACAGACATGATGTGTGCTCTATTTATGATGGAGTGAGGACTATCAGTATTGGAAAGTATCATGACAGTCAAAGTGTCTTTTGCAATTACCCTGACATCTTCCCGAGGCAAGAGAGTTAACTGACTTTAAAAGTCCAGTTTCCAACCTTGCCGAACTAGGCTTGAATTCCTGGGCTCGATCGTAGCGCCACCAGTGGCTGTTACGAGTTAAGTCCCTTCTATGCCTCTCCTATGAACCAATCAGATTCTACCTCTCGTATCACTTGCATTTGCTTCAAACAAAATGGCGGTGCCCAGTCAAGACGATCTGATCTACAATCAGGATCTATATTGTGAGAAAACGGGTCTTACATCACGAAATGCATCAAATCACGTGAGCACCTTGATTAAAAACAACGAGTTGCCGGTGCACATGCTTTGCAAATCCTGCAATCGACCGAAATCTGCATGACAGTTTACGAACCGGATTTCGATTTCGGTGAGCGATTTTGATTGGACTATGCCTAGACTTGTTAGTCCAGCCAAAATTTAACTCCATAATGTCACCCTAGTTCGGCAAGGGTGGAAACTGGACTTTTATAGTCAGTTAACTCCCTTGCCTCGGGAAGATGTTACCCTGATGCCTAAAGATATAGATTTAGGGTTCCAGGTTCAAATACTATAACGTACCGGAGGACCCAAGGACCCCCATCATTGCAAACACTGACTATTGATTCATGCTCGCAAGCATTGACCATGTAGATTATGTTTCCTTGATGAGATCTAATGATGCATCAATGTTTGTTTATCTTTCAGGTACCTAATCTTTTATTCACCGTTCGATATAGTCTACAAAATGGTCAAGTTCCTGCCTTTCAAGATAGTATTAGCAATGCTAAAAGAAACACAGCGGGCTCACAAGGTTTACCATGGCGTGATCCACACCGCCAAGCTCTACCCTAATGCTTACCTCATCATAGTCATGATCGGTACTATCAAAGGTAAGAAAACACTTCACTCCTATGTGAGCATCACATGTCCTTACTTTTCTCAATATTCTTAATTATCATACAGCTGCCTAGTGCCTGGTTTGGTAGTCTATGGCTCTAGTTGCTAATTTAGGTGTGATGTGCTGTATTTACTTGTCTTGCATTGAAACAACCATTTGGGATTCAAAGACATCCCACTATAACAAGGCGACTATGGCGCTCATAGAAACTTACCATAACTTAATCATGGTAAATGTTTATACCTTATTGGAATAGGCTGATAGGGACATGTGGAAACTGATATGTACTTTGCTACTTACAGATACTGTACTACTACAGATAAGCAGCGTATTTGCGTAAAATACCCCCCCCCACCTCCAAATATTCAAAACCCAATTACTCTCAATTATCTTGTGTACAGAAACGCATGCATTAAATGAAAAACTCAAATGTATAAAAATAGCACTCGTAAATACCCAATGAAGCTTTTTCAACATGCGTACAAATAAGCTAATTTCCCAAACACAGTTACTTGCTAATTTACTTTCTGAGCCAAGCCTATGTATTTAGAACAGTTATAAACATCTAAACCATTATTTCTTTTTTTTAAAAATCTTTATATGATCACTAATTTTTTGGAAAAATCCAATAGAGTGATGAACAGATGAGTGAAAAAATATTGGTTACCCAATGAAAAATGTAATAACCCAATTAAAATAGAAACCCTAGAGTAAAAACTCAATTACTCAAAAAGTTATCTGGAGCTCTGTACATAGCATGGGCATGGTAGTTTTGGTAAAATGTCTCTTTAATTCCCATTATAGATATTCCAGTTGTATATGTAAAGGTGGATATATAAGCATGTATAGTTTGTGTAGATGCAGTTCCTTTCCTGTTGAATTGTGATCAGATGTAATGTGTAATTTTAGGTTTGGATATTTTAGGTTTATTAATTACATATTCATGAAAAGCTGTTGGTGGTTAAGAAATGCATATTTGCCCCAATCAACTTGCCAGAGCATTAAGTATAAATTCCTTTATAAATATCTGCAGATTACATTGATGGAGCTGTTTAGCAACCTAAGGCTGTCTTCCCCCATCAATATCATCAACTCAAATTCAGATTTACATGAAATGGACTAAAATAAATATTTGTTCAGATGAAGATGTGTGATTTCTGATTTGTGTCAATTTGACACCTTGGCACATCACACTAAATATTCGGTCTTTGGTTTCTTTCATCCCTTTTTCAATTTTTTATCATGAGAATGTGCTTGCAACAACATTGTGTAGGGCCATGTTAAACTCTCCCCTAAGGAGTAAGTCAAACTAGAATCTCAACAAGATCTTATATATTCTTTCTATCATGCAGGTTGTTATATATTAACAATATAAAAACATAATAATTAGGGCTGGCTAGCGATACAGATCATACAGATTGATAATCGTTAACTAATTTTCGATTCATTATCGATAAATATCGGAGAAGTATCTGAGCAAATTTGCTAAAGAAATCAACATATTTCACTCCACTAGTGAGTGGTGGCACATTTATTCAGGGATTACTTTGTGGACATTTGAGATATAACACTAACAGTTGCTTTCCATCTTCAGCAATTGACATTATTGACAATAACAAGTCTGTTTTGGTAAATCTAAACTATATTTCATCACAATAGATCATGTAAGTATTAACGATGACACAATTTTCATATCGATAATCTTTAATATTTCTTCTCATCGAGGATAATTCTGATTATCGACTTTTTTGCCAGCCCTAGTAATAATAACATGTGCCAGAAGAAACTGTCAGACCGTGTCAATCTTGGAAGGCATTAAATGATGTCATTTTAAACACTGAATTTTGACATTCAAGCCACACTAGTTTGTTTACCAGCTATGCAGATTTTATACCAGAAAATACCTGTTGGTAGGTGAAAAAAAAAACAACTGGAAAAGGAATTCGGATTTTTAAAATATTTTTCTCACCCACTACAAGTAGGCTCGAAGAAAAAAACGTGAAATCTTGTTTCTTTATTAAACATTGACGCAAAATTATCAATACAGCTCTCCGTATTACGATATATTACAGGACGATTTATGTGACAGTATGCCAACCCTAATCGTTGTCATGGTTGTGGCTTTAATAATTTATTTTTGAAAAGTGCTTTCATTAATTTGCTTGTTGATCATGATCTATCTTTTCTTTCTTCATATGTGTAATAGAACTGCCTATCAAGTTACACATTCATCCCATATTTCACCTGTATCAGATAGCTCAGAAATATTACTGGTAGTTGTAAAAAGTACCTCTGCAAGGTTACAGCACGAGTTGGTTCTGCCATGCATACTACAGCATAAACAATGTGTTAGTAAACACAGCGTGTGGCTGAGTATGCAGCCGCCAGACTATAGATGCTGATTCAGTGCTATCCCCACATGCTGCCACGTGTCCTTGGCTCTGCGGGTACATGACTGCATACTGGAGCCCTGCCAGGCATAAACACCCAGACAATATGGCTCCACCAGCTGGCTGTAAGACAGGAGTTATCTCCCTTCACCTGCAGGCCATGTGCTCAGAATTAGTTTGTGTTCATGTGGAATTGAGGATTTAGCATCAAGGTTTGTGTAAAGTGGATTCTTTTAAAAGAAATATGATTAACCATTCATATTTAAAGTTGCATCAGTTATTTTACCTTTGAACAATGGTAACTTAGACATGATAGAATCAACCTACTATGTATATAAATCTATATGGTATAGTTGTGATGTAATTATTTGTCTTTGACAAAAATTATTTGAGAACAAGAACAGCATTTCCCTGTACAGTGAATTATGGATATATAAGTTGTAGTGGTTAACTTGTTTAAGTTTAAGGAAGTGTATCTGAGGTTTCGGCACAGCAAAAGCTATGAGAGCTGGAGCTGCTTCTTTACTCAGAAGTGAATCTGCCCAATCACTTGGCAGGTCAGAGACACATGGTCCTTGACTTGTGGCAGTGTGAAAGGGGTAATTGCTTTTTTGATAATGTTAAAGTGATGATTATGGGGGGAGGCCCAGGAAATCATTTCCATCAAATTGGTGAGGTTAATTAGCATATTCATAGTTTTTGCTAGAATTTAATTCATTCTAGTTTTTTTCGAATCTATTTTCCATTATATGGTACTCATGAGCATTAAACAATATTTTTGGTTCAGAAATTAGGTTCTCTTTGTCAAATTTGTGTTTTGTGATGTTTGATGACCTTGATGTGGTTGTAAGGTCAGGGTGACCCAGTATCATTTGTTGCAGCTGCTGCGTTTTTACATTTGTGGATCTAAAGGGTATAGGCTCTTTCAAACATGACACATATTGTCCAAACATTTTTCTTGAGAGCTCTATGCCACTAAAACCAAATGAAGAATTATCATGATTATTGAAGTGGCTTACCATACATATGGTGACATGGTTTAAAAAATACCTAATATCAGCATATTTTCAATCAAATGAAAATAAAGATAATAGAGTCTTTAAACATGTTTAAAATGATTAAAATAACAAAAGAAGCAAGATTTCCAAAGACAAGTTTCACAAACATAACCGAAAAATAGGATTGAAAAAGCAACCACACTTGCCAAGTAAGGGAGACAACTTGTGGCAGCATGGCTTCCTTTGTGTCCCTGCTGTAGCAAGGGATGAATATGCTTCAATCTTATTTGAAGTAACACAAGATGCCAGACTGATCTGATCATCAACAAGAAACAATTTGGTCAAAGTTAACAAAGTTAATTGGAGCACATTTCTTGATGTGCCATTAAATTTTAACTCACTCACTCAGTTGCAAAAAGTTGTTAAGTTGATTGCCTTAGAACTCACAATATTGTTTTACAAATGGCTCATTATTTTAAGTTTATCTGTTGTCTTTTCACCAGATATGTCCCCGTAACATTTTTATGCATGTTAAATGTTACTAACAAAACAAATCAAATATATGAGGTTGAACTGGTTCATTTGGTGTATACTTTGCATTGAACATTGTATGTGTGTCTTTTTCTCTTTAACTTCTGCAAATTAAAAGCAGACAGAAAGAAAAGGAATCAGTGTGATATGTTGTAGATGACAGTGTTGTGTTTGTGTTGTGTACAGGTGCAGGCAGTGGGATGATGAAGAACGTTGATAGGCTTGTCCGAGGTATCTGGGTGCCCACCACAAATGAGCTTTTACAGCCAACTTTGTAAGTATTCATCCTTGCATTATTCCCTGTGCGATTAAGGTTATTTCTGTCAATAATTTTGAAAACAGCACCCATACTGAGCAAGATGTGCCCCAAATTAATTGGTTATGGCAGGACAGGTTCATAAGGGAATTGAATCGAAGGTGTATTTTATAGTTATTTGTCAAATTAATCACTTATCCAAACAAAAAATGAAGTGTCAACATTTTGTTAACAGAATTATCGAACAATAGTTATCATTGTTAATAATTCTAAGAATACTACCTCTATTACATTCGAATTACTCCCTTCCACCTCCCCAATTCATCTACCTCTAGTAGGAGATGAGGGGAAAAAGTGATATGGCCGCCATTGTGACATCACGACGTGGATAGTTACGAGACTGCTTGGCGGCAACTTATTGTGTGTAATTGACAGTGAAGAGGACGTGTGTTGAAAATCTGAAAATATTAGTTAGTGTGATTGAAGCCAAAATACAGGATTTATGGCAGATATGTAATAGAGGTAGTATTATTAGAATTATTAACAAAAATAACTATTGTTTGATGATTGTTTCAATGATAGAAAAACATTTTAATATATTTCCTTTTTATCATTCAATGCCAGCTGTTGTGATCACATTATCAGTGACCCTCCTATCAAATTATCTTGGCTCAGCATGCTTTTCCTGTATTTGCTAAAAATGAAACTCTTAACAGTTTATCTTGACTGACATGTTTTAATAAGATAACAATAAAGCAGACTGACTGGTCTGATGGAAGCCTCTGAGCATATGCAGCATCCACTTACTGTAGCTTGTGGGAAGACTGGATGTGTTATATTTAGATCCTTGCCTCTCTTCTGAGGGCCAGAGGCAATGAAAGGCTTGCTAGAGGACAGCTTCCCTTTGTGATATCTACAGAGTAGATTACAGGCTTGTTTCTTGTGTTTATCAAGTTGATGCTTTGAGCTCGAGCTTGAGCACCTGTTTATTTTTTTGTGATCCGTGAAGATCCGGGGTAGAATTGGTCTTCAGCAACCCATGCTTGCTGTAAAAGGCGACTGTGCTTGTGGTAAGAGGCGACTAATGGGATCGGGTGGTCAGGGGTCGCTGACTTGGTTGATGCATGTCATCGATCCCAATTGCCTGATTCGATGCTTATGATATTATTATCACTGGATTGTCTGGTCCAGACTCAATTATTTACAGACCACCATCATATAGCTGGAATATTGCTGAGTGCTGCGTTAAACAACAAACCAACCAACCCTGATTTTGAAGAAAGCAAATCACCAATAACTCAAAGACATTTTACCCATTCTTCACTTGTTATGATTCCATTTGTATCTGTTGTTCAGTTGAAATAAGGATGGTAGTAGAGGTATTTTCTCTGTTGTATGTCAAGTGGAAAGTTGACACGTTCCAATGTGTTTTAGGGAGTATTTGAATGTAGGAACGCTTTCCGGAAGCCATAAGAGCCCCTGAACCCTCCTTAATTTCAAAACACTGTAATCATTAAAACCCTACTTTGATTATACCCCTGACCTAAGAGGGAATTTGAATTGGTTAATTTAAACATTTGTTCCACCTATTACTTCAAAACTACAGCATAGATTTGTTTCAAATTTAGTGGCCAGTTACCATACTAACAGAAGACTTGTAATGCAAAGTCTGATTATGATAGGTTAGGATATGAAGGTTTTCTGAGAAGATACGAATTTTTGCGTTTTGAACCTAGAATTTTATTCTTTTACTTCAACATTCGTGAGACCTATGACTTGAGAACTACTTCATAGATTCTTTCAAATTTAAGGAACATTTTCAATACTAATAGGAGAGGTTCAGTGCAAAGTTTGATTCTGACATGTATTTTCTGATAAAAAATAAGACTTTTTTATGTTTTGAACCTAGAATTTTATTCTTTTACTTCAACATTCGTGAGACCTATGACTTGAGAACTACTTCATAGATTCTTTCAAATTTAAGGAACATTTTCAATACTAATAGGAGAGGTTCAGTGCAAAGTTTGATTCTGACATGTATTTTCTGATAAAAAATAAGACTTTTTTATGTTTTGAACCTAGAATTTTATTCTTTTACTTCAACATTCGTGAGACCTATGACTTGAGAACTACTTCATAGATTCTTTCAAATTTAAGGAACATTTTCAATACTAATAGGAGAGGTTCAGTGCAAAGTTTGATTCTGACATGTATTTTCTGATAAAAAATAAGACTTTTTTATGTTTTGAACTTAAAATATTCTTTACTTCAACATTTGTGTGACCTATATATTGAAAAGTACCTCATGGATACTTATCCAAATGGAGGTATAGTTTCTATACCAATAGGAGAGATGCAGTGCAAAGTTTGATTTCAATAAGTAGATTTTCTAAGAAAATATTGCTTGTTTTCATGATTTGAACATAAAAATATGTTGGAGTTAAAGCCGGGGATATTAGTGAAACCTGCTCACACTTTGCCTTGTTTTATTCTCATTTGGAAGTCCAATCTGAATCAGAGATCATCTTAAACATTAAAACTAGTGTTTTATGTGGTATTCCATATCAGTAGCTATGAGAGGGTCATGATAGTGAGTTTGCTGGTATACATGCAATGTTCAATATAACTGCCTGCTCGTGGCAGGTAACTTTTTTGTCAGGCTGCATGAAATTTTCCTGCACCTGCCCAACTGTCTGGCAGATAATTTTAAGACTACTTACGTATTCCGTTTTATTATGACTCCTTGTAGATTCTGCAGTAATTGTTTGCATTATTTCAACTGAATTAAGATGTAATTTGTCTCTTCGTTTTTACGATATTTATAATGTCTTAATGTGGGCAGGTAATTTTGAAGATGAGCAGGCAACACTTTGGGTCACCTATCTGATTGTCTTGTTTTAAAATTATTTTGAACACCCTATACATGTAATTGCCTAACTGTCTGTAACTCCCATACCGTTCCCTTGCAGCTACACAAAGGCATCAGCAGTGGCCTCCCTTGTGTTCCTGTTGGAGAGGCAGGGACTCATCAGTGTGCCACACCCACTCGTCTATTTTGGAGTCGTCATCTTCTTCATCTACTTCAAGCTGTCGTCAATAATCCTTGGCATTCATGACCCATTCGGTCCCTTCGAGAACTTGTTCTGTGCCATCTTCATGGGCGGAATCTGGGATGCCATGCGCAGAGCTGTCACCAAGGAACCTAAGAAGGAGGAAGAAAACAAAGACATGAGGAACGATGTCATCAAGTCAAAAGAAGACAAGAAGAGAGATTGAGAGAAACACGGGAATGGAGGAATGAATTAGAAACAACATTCAGTGAAATATGGGAAAACTATATGAACTATATTTTGATTATTTGAACACAAATAGTTCAATTCATTTTAGTACCTAAGTATTATTTTCTTAAGTTGAAGGATGATTTTTAATATAATTGTCAAATATATATTTAAGGTATATTATGGATGACTTAAGCATGTGGGAAAATACGACACAAAGACAAGGGTTATAAGCTAACTAATGTCATATTGTTCACAAATGGTCCTGGAACATGATCAAACAGTGCCTAAAGATAAGACCATATTTCTTCCAACCAACATGCCAAAAGTTCCATGGAGAAAATCTCCGTAATAGATTCATAGATTAATAGAATCTGTGTTGACGCTTCCTGATGTTGCTTCAGAGAAGCGCAACAGAATATGCCCGGCCCTACCACTAGTGTCCAGTAGCCTTTACATCCAACTCAGCACAATACCAGTATCATATTGTTGATATGTATATGAGATTATATTATGTACATAAGCATCTACAAAAACTAGAGATCACCTGTGTACATAACGCCATCTGCTGGGCACTGTGATGGGGTCATATATTACCAAAGAGATCTGTGCAAGGGTAGTTATGCTTCAGAATTTTGTTTATTTTATATGGAGGGCATCAGTTGGAATCATATGTGTATGGAGTACTTGTCATTGTGGAACTGTATTGTAATAAGAGAAATGATCTGATTTTAATTTGTTTTGTTGAGATTTCAACTGTCCCCGAGATCAAAGCATGGTTTAGTTGCAAGGCTGGTGGTTTGTGTACTGACTCTCATTATGGTCATGTACTTGCTGTAGAAGTATGTTTGGTTAAGTAACCGTACATACAGATTTCAGTGTTTGACAAATCTCATGGTCTGCTTATAGAGGGATCATCTATTTCAAACTCACCAAAATACAGAATCTGGCTTAACAAAAGAAAGATGGGTATATTGTGTCAGTGGAGGATATACTTATTACAAATAGTTGGTGTAGAGGAAAGTTGTATTGGCTGTGTGAAATAAGGCTTGAAAGTCAAGGAGTCCTTATCATAACCCTAGTGTTAGATCTTGAAGATTTAGGGGTCACTAGATTCAAATACCATAGGGCTGTAACGATACTCTTTCTTGCGACACGATACGTATCTTGATGGTGAGGTCCCGATACGATACATGATACGATATGCGAAAACGACACTTGTCTTGGATTCCATCAGTAAGAGAATGACCAGAGCCCCAACCAAAACATTTGATTGAGATATTAATATGCCTACAGAAAATTGAGTTATTTTCATACCAGGAAACTCCTTGTCTATGTAATTATGAATGATACATATCTGGTATATTGTTTTGTAGTGATACATCACGGGAAAATATGATACGTGTATCGTGGAACAAAGTGTTGCAATGACCCAGTACTGTGGTGAATCGTTACAGCCCTACAGTAATTCATCTTGCATATCACCATGACTCTACTGCATATCCTGCATAATAACAGACCTCCCCTATATGACAATCCTGAAATATTTTCCTTCAGATAGAAACATATTTTCACAATAATATTTACATATGAATTTATTTTTTCATGAAGTGATGTTAGATGTTTGCTTTGAATATATCTTCTTCTTTTATTCTGTTAGATTTTGAATACTTCTTTGTAGGGTCTGTTTTGTCATATTATGAAACTCTCTGCTTATCTGTACCAAGGGTTATTGTATGGTTTTGTTTATTAACAAATTACATATCCACAAGATTTTCTTTTATTCCATTTTTGGAATTGACACAGTCCATTTGTTCATACATCTTGTTTTATTCATTTGAAGATAATTAATTTTATTCTTTCTTTTTGTTATCTAATTAACTGAGTCATTAGTGTTTGTAATCCTTAACCTATTTGTTACAGTCCTCATGGCTGGTGATAACTGGAATACTGAGGCAAAAGTATTATCAAAACAAGTTAATAAGTTTAATTAGTTTAAATGAAATTCCCAAGAATGTATGATTTAATATATAGAAATCAAAGCATTGTATAATCTTAAAAATAAGAAAAAAAACCTGTTCAGCCAGAATGCTTATTACCTTGATAGAATAGGACATAAAAGAATCCTGGCTCACTGGAGATGATAGAAATGTTCATGTTAATCTACAATGTCAGTGTTTTTATTTTCCGGATTCGTCTTAAAGGGTTGAATATGATTCCAGCTTAAAATTCTATCCATACTACATTGTAGTAAGGCATCGCTTCTCAAATGTTGCTATGTTCCCTGTTCTGTTAAATAGTTCATTACCACATCATGACTTCAGCTTGTTGGAATCAGATTTGGTTCATAATTCATTTGTGGATAGTTTCTCCTTTTTGATGGCTTGTGTTGTTTTTTTATTCAAGACAAAAGTATTTGTTTTATGTTTAACTTTTACATGTTTTAAATCAGTTTGTTACAAGTGAATGTAAAATGATTACATGTGTTACAATAGTAAAATTTGATCTATTACAAAATATTTTATTCAGAGTTGCCAAAATACAAATGTCACTTGTTAACAACTTCATCTCCGACTGTTTTATGCTTGTTGTTACAAGGCTGGTGTTGAGATACACGATTTGTATCAGGAAATGGTTTTATTGATGACTTCAGTATTCAGAAATAGAAAAGCATTGTGCCATTTCAGCCTGTGTATACTGTGTAGGCTAGTGAATCATAATCAAGTATTCATTATCATAAAGAACAGAACTTTGTACCGCTCAGTTTAACCAGGAATTGTATGCAGAGCTGTAGTGGTCAACTGTTTACTGAACATAATCAAGCCATGGTTCAACATGTTCAGCAAGCCAGTCACAGTGGGGACTAATGGCACATCACCGTAGCTCTCACAGAAAGGGATATTTACAGGTTTTATGGATATCCTGTGTTCTATTTACATCTGTATCTTGTTGCCAATGAAGATATTCAGTATTGTGTGATTGATATTGTAGCAGCGTGTTTTAGTCTCACATCAGTTCAACAAGGTAGCAGTTTATTTTAGTCAGTCATTACTTCACCAAGTTCACCAATGACCATGTTGTTCTCTACTTAGATCCTAAACAAGTTGGTTGGTATGTCATATATATTATCCGAATGTTTGGGTATTTGAGTTGATCTATCAAATACCATGGGTTATCAGGAGATAATACCACTCCATGTTCTGACATGCAAGATGTCCCATCTACCAGCTTGCTCATCAATAATGCTTGCCATTGGTCAATATCCTGTTATAAAACAACCTGGTAAAACCCATGGTGATAGTCATTTGAACATGGTCATCATAGTATAGTCTAATAATTTGAAGTCTAATCTTCGATAATTTTCCTTCAAGTGTGCGGTGTTGAAAGTTTTGTATATGTAGTGAGTTCGTGATTCTTGGTGAATCGTAGCAAGTCCGTGTTCTCCCCGTGGTGTATCCCTCCCCGACATTCCGTTACAGTTCGTATGTGTAATTGTCATCAAAGTGGGTTTCCTTGACAGTTTTGCATATTTTTTATATCTAAATATTGTCAAAGGGTATTGAAATATTTTCAGTAACAATGTTGTGAATTATTTGTACATAAATAAGGATATACTGTTACTATTTCAAACATTGAGTTTATTGGCTGAAACTATTTTTCATAGTTGACAATTTAATAACATGGTTCTTTTTAGAAATCATACTGTAAGTGTGTTTTAAGATGATAAATCAGTACCAGTTATGAATTGCTTAAGAAATAATTTTGGTCCCGTCACAAGATACACAAGTGTTTGATCAAAGGGAAGTAACTCTTGAAAACCTCATTCAAACCAAATGTTATTGCCTTATTTGCCTATGATCAATATATCCTTGTAGATTTTCCAATGCTACTGATACAATATTGAAAGAAGCCAGATGTTTCTATCAGGATAGGGAAGCAGTATTGTGGAGATAGGTTGTGTGATAGGTATGGAGCCGAGGAAAGGAACATTCGGAGCACTTCATGTTGCTGTGTTAATGGCCATGTGAAATGGTTCTATCTCCAAGTTGTGTGTCATATTTCGAAACTCCATGACATGCTATAACTGTTTTTTCGAGAGGATGGTTGTTGTAGTGTTGTAGGTGGCAGTGTGGGACAGTAGTATTGAGCTGCAACATGTACTTTCGGTCGAATATTTTGTGTGGTTTTGATTACATGAACTTGTTTCTCTTCAAATGTTGGAAAAAATAGCACATTCTCATGTACAATGTGTGAAATAAAAATGTTGATGAAAAGTTTGGTGCCCCAAATAGCATGGATCAGGTAATTTGAACCACACAATTTATTTAGTTGTATTATTTCAATGTTTATTTTACTTTTACATGGTTTATTCTTTTAAACTGTTATGGAATTTATTGAGTTCTTGTAGCTTTATGCTACGGCTACTTACATTTCAGCATTGTGGTGAAGTAGCATAACTTGTTTGTTTTGATGTATTGATCTTAATAGTTGCGTTTTTTAGGTGTTATGTTTATGATTTTAGAAGACAAATGTAACATGACTGGTTTTTGACATCTGGTTCATCAATGACATTGACCATATGACATTGAACTTGACAAGACAAACATCATATGTGCAATACAGATCAAAGAGGGTTTGACATTTTTTGACAAATTCCTTCCCAGGTGTTACGCAAACAAGTCTTGCTAGTACTTGAATCTCAGTATTTTTGAATGATTGGATGTTATTCTTTTTGTACCGGTAATAAATGTCAGGACTTGAGTGGAGAGCATTCTTCACAGTATGTATTGGTACATTAAATATAGATATTATATACCATTGAATGACACTATATGGGAAATTATCACAAAGATCAGTTTCAAAACGCTATTAAACAAAATATTAAATGGTGCTAAATTTGGTCAAATTGTCAACAGTGAATAATCTGTTAAATCATTATCTAGTCATCTTGTTAATTGTTTTTAATTTGTTCCAAGAGTCAGAGTTTCTGTGTTCACAACCTTTGTACCATCCAGGTAAAATATAGTCGACATTGTTCCAGCATTATGGAGATCCCATTCCAATAATGTGTAGGCACTAGGATGTTGCAATGAAAGGCAATCCCACGCAGAATAGTCACTTTTGACACTGGAAGCAGAAGGATCACAGAAATGGCTACTATGTAAGATGGTGAGATTTTGGAAGGGCATCATGCACAGAATTTGATCTCTTTACAAATCATAACCATAATCCTACTGTGCATTCATTTGGAAACATTGTTTGGGAAAAGTCTTTGAATCCTACAGCTGGCGCCAGTCTTAAAAGTTGCTATTATAGTTAAGTACTGCAGTCAAGGAAAGTGAACAAGGGTGGGAGGTCCTTTGAGCATCAGTGTCACAGACAGGGAAAGATAACTCTGGTGTTCTCTCACTCTCTTGTGTGTACTGAGTGTGACCCTCTATGTTGTTATATATATTTGAGTTTGACCTATTGTACAACTCTCCACTGTAGGCAGACTCGGACAGTTTCTGACAGATTTAGGTATAGTGTACAGATGATAGATGACAATAAAACACATGGAAAAAAACTTCCCAGTTTTGTGTTAATTTCATTATTTCAGAGTGAGGTGGCTGAAAAGTTCTGAGCCTAACTTTGATTGACTGCGTTGATCAAGTTGGTTGTTAATTATATTTTGACATAATCCCCTCCGAGGTCCACTCACTAGTGCCAATGTTGCTGGAGTGCCTGGACCCTGCTGATGTTCAAGGCTTCCTCCTGGTGGTGTAAAAAGTCCTCCATAGGAGAAAGGAGGTCATCATCATTTGTATGATGATTGCCAGACAATTCTTTCTTCAAGTTTGGGAAGTGGTGGAAATCTGACAGTGAAAATATGATGAATATGGAGGATGTTCAATGAGTTCAAGACACAATCAAGCATTGGAGCCATGGCAGAATTGTGCACATGTGCATTGTCCTGGTGAAACAACACACCTTAAGTGAGCTTTCCATGACATTGAGCCTTGATATTCTCTCCCAGTTGCTTAAGCAGATTAGCATGTTATGTTCCATTATTGGTCTGACCTGTTATCATTGATGGTCTGACCTGTTATCATTGATGAATAACATTTTACACTAAACACACTGGCATTACTTAACTTGCACCACCAACAACTGTGTATCGAGATTTAACATTGTTATCTAATTTTTATCCACTTTCTTTGTCAGCACTGCCTTAGCAACATACTCCAGGGATTCCAGTTTACAAAAGGTCCCGTAACCTATCCTTGGTGACTTGGTGTGGATCGATGCGCACAATATCAATCACTGGGTTGTTTGGTCCAGACTTGATTATTAACAGGCCACTGTCATATAGCTGGAATGTTAGTGAGTGTGGTGTTTAGGACAAACAAAAAAACACTTACCAAACTAGAAGATTTCCAAAGGGATTGTGGATTTAATCACAGAACCCAGCACTCAAACCCATGTAGATATTTAATCATGCTTTTGAAACCATGCACTGAACAAGACATGGGAACTTTGCAATGTGGTCCTTGCTATGATCACTTTTAAAAAATTTCTATAGCTATTAGTTTCAGGAAATCAGATTTTTCTTCATATATTTGAATGTTTTAACAAGATTTAGTCTCTGATTGCAGGATATTGCGTTTTTCGAAGTTCATATTTCATTTCTTTCCAGGGTTGATCATGCCCCAGAACAACAACTAAGATCTGATTTTAATGAGATTGGTTTGAAGTGGACAGCTAGAAATTGCGCAGCGTGACAAAACCGAAAACCCGTTTTAACCCCAGTTAAATGTTTTTTTCGTTTGGTTGACAATTCAGCCTATCATTTTCTTTCGTCTGTTTTACGATTTCAAATTTGATTTCGGTGAAGCATTTGTGATTAACCATGACATAAAGAAATAAAATGCAAAATTGCTATGTTCACTACACTAAGTTTTGTCCTTTAATAGAGGTATGACATCACCTTAATTGTATATTCATAACCTCGTGACTGGTACTTTCGGTCCGTTTCCTTATCACGTGACCGTGATAAGGAAAGGCAACAGCAGCAAGTTGAACTTCGATATGTCACATGCATGTTCCCGGGCAAAATAACTGATGCGAAAGGGTGCTTCATACTTCCATCATAAAGAAAGAACTATATTTCGTTTCGCAAAGGGAAACTTGCAAAGGGTGTAAAGCGGTGGTAGATTTACATCGTATTTTTCATACGGGCCTGTTCACCGGAGTATCTTTACTTTACGAAATCTCGATTTCATCAAAATCGTAAGTATATATATTTGTTAAAGTCGATTGTCTTTAATGTTGAAAAACGAAAATCATTGTCTAGATACTGTGTATTGATAATGCTTCTTTTCAGCTAATGTAGCGTGTATTTGTCCAATATATCCATTATAATTACCAATTCAGTAGCGGAAGATTATATGATCTCAAAGGCTGCGTGTTTTCAATATAAAACTTTGAACCTGTTGCTATTTCGATGAAGTGGGATCTAATGACCACAACGAACAAAAAAGCTGTTCAACTTCCGTGCGGAATGACTAAATTATTTGAAAGCATCTGTGGGTGGGCTGGCAGTACTACATCGGCCTTAATGTCACTGTAACCATACATAAGGATAAAAACACATATCTATACTTTATCACACATTATATACGAACACACTAGAGAGGCTAAAATAATGCGTTTCTGACACACAATATCGAGAAATGGGTCCCCGTAGAAAATGACACTTGAAAAGTTTATCAACAAGTTCATGTATACCGAAAGGGCCCCAATACCTAATGCAGGCGATCGCGCGAGCATACAGGGCGGAAATATGACGCCTTTCCGAACGGGCACAGTAGGCATATCAAAATAGCGTCGCCGCGGATCCACAAGTGATATAGGTTTACACATTTAATTTCATCACATGTATGATGGGTTCATCCGTTCATGGTAACAAAGTGTTTATTTTTATTTAATGAAAATATTTGTTTGTTAGTTGTTCAGAATTAACGCCGCACTTTATGCCGGCGGTCTGTAAATAATTAATCGAGTCTGGACCAGACAACCCTGACAATATTGGCATCATGAGCATCGATCTATGCAATATTGGGATCCAATGACATGCATCAAGCAAGTGAGCGAGCCCGAGCACCCGATCCTTACGGCAAACATATGGGAAGACCTCTTCTCGACCCGGATCATCACGGGTCAATGTATTAAAAATAATTGTAGATCTATTCGAAAAGAATATTCTTTATATAACTTCCGTGCTTGATCGATCACGAGTACACGCGTGCGATCGTGCAGTCACTCGTGTTCGACATAATATATCGCGAGCCCCCGTCCTCCTGAACTCGCCGTTATCGTGAATATATGCAGGCCGCGAGGCCTTATTTTACTGTGTTTAACAATTAACATGTTTTGTCTTGAATACTAGTAGTCACATGATCAAATCCTGATTGTGAAATTGTTTACCGCTGTAAGTAACTTTATTGAGAGTCATTTAGAATGGATGAACAACTGTCTAACCCCATGTTCCAGATGCCCCCAAAATATATGTTTATGATTAGTATATTATATAATAAAAACCTATGTAGCAGTGTGGGGAAATAATGAACTGCTTAGATTTTATCAACTATTCCTTTATTTTTATTCATTAAAAAAGACCCACTAAGTCTATGCCTTTCAGGTTATATTGGTTTTACTTAGAGCACCAGACAGGAAACGTGGGCAATATAACTGTTGACTATATATTTATAGATATTCACTTGATTTGCAACTTGTGTCTGTGTTTACGGTTTCCAATGCTTTCCATACAATTACAACGGAAAGTAAAAACAAAATTTAGTTACCACGCCCTCTGATGAATAATATATTTTTAACATGCTATATATTGACAATATAATATACTCTGCCTGGCATGACTGCTTCGAAGTAGTGCACACTTCTAACTTTCAGCCATATATATGGTGACTTCTTCATTGACCGATATACCATTACATTGGATGTATATGACTCATTTTCACTCCCCATAGACAATTTAACAACTAAAATATAACCCAAAACAGATTAAAGTCTGCAACCTCGGGTTGTCGCGGTACTTGTCATGTAGGCTGAACGGAACAAAATGTACTCACTAACCTTTATGCTTATTCGTGTTCTCTATATCAGATGTCATTTATTTTATCTAACAATGCATATTTTACTGATAAAAGTTCATTATTCTTCCCCGCCCTTAAGGCGGGGAAGTATACGGGAGAGGTTAAATTTGTAGCATGTAAGTCGACATGTTGGTTTCTTTGAAATTTCAAGCCACACAGTTACCGAAACGAAACATACAAATCATGTGAAATGTGCGTGAAATGTTGATGTTTATCTTTTCCAGCAATAAGAGATACTTCAAAATCTTCTTGCTATTTTGAGACTTAGTCAATTTTCGTAATGCTGATAACCCATGAAATTTGTTCATTTTGTTTTGTAGAGCTAAAAATGATCCCATTTCGCTGAAGTTAACCGGTCTATATTTTGTAAGAATAAACTATTGCGCATTGAGCGATTATCTCCTTTAGCTATAGGCGTAGTATAGAAGTGATAAATTCACGCACTGACCTTGCATTGCTGTACATCGTGCCTTATTCAAGCTGTATCACTGCGAGTGAGTGATTATCTCCCTTACCCGAACAGCTCAATTGCGCACTACCTTTGCAATGTATCGTATGTTATTCAGGCAGCCATCGAGAAACGTTCCAGGAAGGAATTTAGGCCAAGCCTGTCACGCGCACTCAATTTTCACACTGCTTTTGCAACATATTTTTCAACACGATTAAATAACAGGCTTCTATAAAGTATGACTTTGTTCAATAAACAACACATGTAAAACAACGGGTTTGATATGAGAATTTTTTATTAGTTATCTTCATAATCACATGTATGGCGCTTGCTGTGCATAGTTGAGCACAGCATTGTTTTTAATACTTCACTGTATGTAATGTATGGTACATACTGTTTCATGCGGCGGTTTACGTTTCTGCATGGTTTATTGCTTTGACAAAAAAACAAAAAAAATTCCAGCAGAGATCATACACCCGTATATGTTCTTTGCTTCTGGATACATAGGACAGGTTGGTCTGTAGTTTGCAATTATTTTCCAAAAAGATAATACGGTTGCATGATATCTCCACGATGTTTGGGTTGAATATAGTAACATTCTTCTAAACAAATTTCAAATCTAAGCCGGAAGCAATCACAACACAAACCCAGTTAACCAAACGGAACCATACACAAGAGTGAGTGAGGTAGTTGGGTTTAACGCCGTCTTGAATAGTATTCCGTGTCAGCTTGATGTGGGAGGAAAGTCTGAAGTGATGCAGGTCTTAGACGTTCACCACTTTGGTGAAACCAACGAGCAAGGGTTTTGTGCTGACAACAAAATCGGAGTGAACCGAGATTCAAACACACTGTCATAGGTTTCTGGCGTGCCCAAGGGACACAACTCTGCATAGCGAATTGCAGCGGCTTCGGCGACTGGGCCAACAATGCCCCCGTAAGCAACTGTAAGAAACTATTATACAACAAAGATGTTTTAGATGAGATATGTATTGCGGAACATTCCATGAAGAAACAGTGGCTATATTACACAATCACAAACTACAAAATACATGCACAATAAACGACAATTAAAAAACACAGGAACATTCAACATTCCAAAGAGGTACATTATAACAATTTTATTTGTAAAACAAGTGTATTATTATGATATGGAAACAATATGGGAAGTGAGCAAAACTATGGTAATGTTGTACATACATGTGCAAGGAATTTGTTTGTAATTGTTGATATGTTAACAGATCTTGGAAGTTGTTTCTGGATAACTGTTGGTAAACTTATTAAGAATCTGCTCCTTTTAACAGAGTGTACTAAATTCTTTATCATGATTGGGGATTATTTGTGATTCTCTTTCTTGGTTGTATTATGTAAGACAATGCGTAATGTTGTTCATCTTCTGAGACATCACATGTTTCACAGACGATGTTCAAATGTTTTTTTTTGTTTTGTGTGTATATCTACAATTTTTTCAATTTTTAGTTTGTGATAACTTAAACGAAGTTTTGAGAAAAGTGACCTATGGCCTTTCTTTTTACAATATGTAAGATAATTCTCAATATTTATAGATAACGTGACCAAACTGTATGTTCCTAACTTGCTGCTAGATAAATGGGAATCCATTAATGATTGCGTGAATTTTTACATTTGAACTGAAGTCTATTGAGTATATAATGAGTGGATTCATTACATTTTTTGTGTTCACTATTTTAAAAGTTTGCTTTATTTAACCCAACCAACATTTGACCAGAAATATTGATATTTGCTGCAAAAGCATGCTTTAGAATTACATTTGTTGCGTTATCTATATAGGATTTTTTTTATTGGTACTAATAATGGGTATATATCAAGTTTTGCCTGACAGGCCCAGTTTTCTTGCCTGGGTTTTCTTTGTGCTGACCAATTAAAGACACTGTTTCTTTTATTGTGCTTTCCAAAGATAAGTACATTAATAACAACCAATTTGTACTGAACACAAATTCTCTCCTCCCATAGCTTACACTTATTTCCTCTGCACATAACATTATATTGCGGGGAGCTATTGATGCTCTGCAGCAATCTCTACTTGTTTACATCAGTAGCGCCGAGTAAAACCCGGGCCTCGCGCTCTGTTTGACAAGGGAGAGAACTCCATCGTATCGCGGTACAGAGAAAAGTTGTGTATGGAGGTCCGAATTGGACAAAAGGAGGACATAATTCTACCAACCACTTGGTATGATCATGCCAGACATCAGTGATTTGTCCAGACAAGTGCAAAGACAGCACAAGTAAAATTCTAAATGTGTTATCAGTTATAGGTATTCAATGCATATTTACCGAAAAGTAAGAGAAAAATATTTTAAAAATCAACAACAACATATCAGAAATGATATTCTAAGATTTTTTATTTTTTATTTTTTAAAAATTGATGACAATAATTTGTCACAAAATGGAAAAAATGTTAACAGTCAACAATAAATATATAACAAGCGTATAGTTGACAAAGTTATCTATATCCCCCGCCCATTTTAACACGTTATGGTCCCAAACCAGGTGACCCGTGAAGATTCCGGGGTAGAATAGGTCTTCAGCAACCCAAAAGTGACTATGCTTGTCGTAAAAGGCGACTAACGGGATCGGGTGGTCAGGCTCGCTGACTTGGTTGATACATGTCATCAATCCCAATTGCGTGGATC